GCCCTGGGCCTTGGACGCTTCGGGACGCCCACCCACCGGGGCCCCTGGTGCTGCAGCCGCTCCCGGGGCGGTCTGTAGTGCCGGTCCCGGAGTGCGGGTCCCCGGGAGGCAGGCGTGGGTTCGCGGGGTGTGTGAGGCAGCATCAACTGCTTTCCGCTTTATTAAACTGAAGAACTATAGTCATTTAAGGTCCAAAGCTGATGGATTTGGCGATTTATGGCTGAGGTGCTGAGCTGCTGGGATACTAAAGGCAGTGTGCGTTTGATCTGCCTGTGTATGAAGGCCTGTGGAGCCCTGAGGGACACCCTGGGGAGGACCTGCCTTGCTCACCGCTCCTGCATGCGCAGTTATCGCCTGCCCTGCAGGGAGCTGTGCCACAAGCGGGCAGGAGCCGAGCAGGAGCTTCGTGCTGTCCCTCCGGCACGCAGCACGGCTGAGGCGAGGTTTGCGGTGGTAAAGGCCAGTCAGGGGTGGCTGGTTCCCTGAGGGAGCTGTGGGCAGCCTGAAGGAGCCGTACACAGTTTGGAAGGTAATAATGGGTTCAGTAAGTTTGTGAGTTTGTTTTCCTCATCAGGTAAAATAAGTGCTGAAAAGGAAAGAACAGAAAGCGAGATCGAGTGTTTTAAGCTGGAGGTTGTCCTTGGGCTTTGTTAGTGAAGTGAGAGTAGTAAGGGCATGTTGCTAAGCCATCAGCTGTGTGCTGTAGGCTATCAATGTAATTTCTGAAGACTAGCTTAGTTTTAAAATCTGTTTTTATCTACAGCAGGATGCAGTCCAAAATCTTTTATCACATATGTCATTGCCACAAGTTTCTTTGCTTTTTGTGAAGGAATTTCTGTTTGTTTATTAAAAGCACATGAATATCAGAGGAACTTAAGGATATATGGGAAGAAGAGATAAGTTGTTGATGAGTAAATGGAGTGTTCGGGTCTTTCTGCCTGCAGGAGGTAAAATTAGTTTGGCCCCTGTTAAGTAGAGTTAGGGTGCAGTTAAGTGCTGCTGATAGTCCAGTTGTCTGACTCTGGGTTTACAGCAAGCATACGCTGTTAGCAGGTGGTGTGAGTGTGATCTGTGTAGCAGGTGCACAGATGTGCAACCCTGTGTGACCACTTGGCATTGAAACCTTTTGTGAGATGTGTGAAGTCTCTCTGCTTACACTGAAGCTGTTAAATGCTAACCTGCTAAACAATTACTTTTCTGTGATGACAATTGCTTTGTTCCATTATATTTTAAGGGGGTCATTTAAAGACATTTATGACTTCAGATTTTTGTTGTTTGCTGGCCTCTCACTTTTTTTCCAGTAGATATTTCTATCACCTCACTTGAAGTATGGTCAGTTAAATAATAGTTTTGGTGTTTGGAATAATTATGGTAGAGAGGGGGAGGTAGGGTTTGGGATCATCCTGAAGCAGATTTGTTTATGCTGGAAGAAAAATTCACTCCTCTTCTTGTCTGTGTCCCCTTCTTTTTCTTCTCCCACCAGAGCTATCAGAGCTCATTTCAACCAAATACAAAATTACTGACAAGTAGTTGTTGGTTTCAAATTAGAGTTCAGGTGACCTAACTAACTAGCCATAGTTGCAAGAAGCAGTCCCACCTTTAGTCCCTATATTTATGCTCCTGCTGCTTCAGATTCATCCTGTATAACAGTTTTGTGGCCACAGAGTGAGTTAATAATATTCCCTATTGGATTTGCTGTTTTTCAGGGCAGGATTTCTGATGGATCAGTCACCTGAACCATCACTGTAGGACTGCAAGGTCTGACCCAGAGGGAGACAGGGACCTGCAGCTGGGGGTGGCAGAGGGGAGGAGGGTTGCACTTCCTCTAACCCCTGCAGGCTCAGAGAGAAGGTAGGAAACTCATGTTGGGTGGGAGTGATTATGGGGTTCGCTGATGAATTGCACACCAAGTTATCTGATTATTCAGGGTGTGGAGGTGGAACATGCCAAACAAGATTAGCAAGTCAACTCAATTTTGGGGGAGGGAGATGTCAAGCCAAACCAGACCTCTGTGGAAAAACTAAAGGTATGACAAAAATGTATTAATATAAGGGAGCAGACCCTTGATCTTTTGGTGGATACTCTGCTATGCGAAGGGGTGGTAGTTTTCCTCCATTCCTGTGGAAGAACCTTGTGTGGATAGTGAAGCTTTCAAGTTGCTAGTTTTGACACAACAGATACTGTTTGGTGTGGTTATTCAGCTGGCTGAGGAGTAGTAGTTTAAATTTCTGTAGTGAGATGGGGGAATAAAGGTGAGAGGAGAGAGTCTCACCCCTTTGCCTGCCCTGTTGCAGCACCTAAAGTTCCCAGGTTATGACAAACTCTTGGTCTTGGCTGATGTGTTTTCCTCAAGGGAAATTTTGCTGTAGCTCCCCTCCTGTTGTGTATCAGGAAAATAGTCCTGTATCCTGCCAGCTTCCTATCAGGAGCATAGCAGTTGCTGGCTGATACTGGCGTTAAGCCTACAAGCTGGGCTACCAGGAAGGTAGGGCTTATGTTGCAGACCTTGGTGTGTTATTTGGCATCCTGCTGGGGAAGCTCTGCTGTTAGCACACGGGGCGGCTTGGCCTGCACGCATGAGTTGCAGTCACACCTTTTGCCTACAGTGCCTTTTGTCACCTTACTCAACAGTTGGCTCAGGCTTGCAGTGAAACAACAGTGCAGCTAGTTCCTCTTGTGGTACAAGTAATAAAAGAGAACTGTGCATCTGTTTCTGTGGAGTGGCTTCAGCCCAAATGTGAAGAACCAGGAGGAACTCTGTAGGATTTCAAACCAAGCGAAACTGATACTGCTGAAGTCTCACTCTTCTGTGTATGTCAGGTACACACAAGAGTCTGCCTTCTGCCGTGTGCTGGATGAGCTGGTGTAGGGAGCTCAAGTGGTGAAAAAACTTGTTTTTTTTTCTTATTGTGATGATGTGGTGCTTTGTGTAGTACTGATACAGGGAAGTCAGACTGGAAGAGGGAGTGCTGCAAAAGTCTTGCTGGCAGCAATGTTCAGCTGCACCTGCTCTCAAGTGGGAGGAGTTTCTGTTCTGGGCTGAAACCACTATAGTAGTTTTTGAACAAATTTCAACCTTGTGAATGTTTCTGATGTGTTAAAACAGAATTTTGTAAGGTGGGGAATTGCCTGTTTGTAGTGTGTCTGGGCCAAAAGCAGTGTGTTCTGATGTCAGCTGGCTTTGAATCATGTTGTAAATGCATCTTTGCCTTGTGTCCCCACTGCTTTATCCTGTGCTAACTTCTCAAAATAGATTATACATGATAAAATTCAGAAGAGACTGCAATTGATATTGGCTTAAAATTCTCCATTGCTTTTTATGTCTAGGCACTTAGTTACGGTAATTACTTGTCTCTGATAATTGCTGGTTCAAATGTTATTATTAGAAAGTATTACTATGACTTGATAAGAATGTTTACTTATGGCTTCTCTTATTTGAAGATCAGCAGTGAAGGAAAGCAGAGTGAAGAAAGTGCCACGTTGTAACTGAAGGTACAAGTCAAAAAAACCTACAGGGAGATCAGCTCAGCAGTGTATGCTCCACCTTTCTTAACAGGCTGTCATTGCATGATTTGGGGAGGATTTTTGCTGTGCCTTCTGAAGAACAGATAACGCTGTCACAAGTACATGATTGTGTTGCCTAAAATTTGATACCAGCTGTAGAGTAGATGGCTCGGCTTCCTCCTGGGATTCGCTTTATCACTTCATTTTCACGAGATCAGTGGTAAGTCTTGAAGGATGGTGGTCATCTTTGTTTTGGACAATGTGAGTTTGTGTCTAGGGAAGGTGATACTGTTGCCTTGCTCTATTTTTGCTTTTTCATTGCTTAATATATACAGAAAAAAAATATGGTCAGTTGTATATTAAGTAAATATGACTCACATTTAAAAAGTGAGATTTTTTTGGGAGGAACTCAGATAGACCTCTACTAGTCAAGTGTGCTAAAGAGTAAAGCCTTTTGTCCCTTTATTTGCAAAATATGGATAAATCAGAGACTCTTATATTCGTGGGTGGGAGATGTGCTCAAGGTTAGCTTTCTTTTCTTAACCAGAAGTGTGTTTTCTCCTCCATAATTTGGTGTGTAATGTAGACTTGTAGAATTACACTGCTGTGTAAAACAAAACAAAATGAAAAGCTCTTTGCTTTAGGAAAACCAGTCCTGCAAGTTGGGTGCCATCAGTTCTTGTACTTTCTGAGATAGAATAGTGAGTCAATTGTGTGTGAATAACAAAAAAAAAACAAACAAAAGACCAAGCACTTCCCATTTGAGCAATTTTATCACATACTTTTTCTAGTAGAGCAGCAAGAGCAAAGTCATTGCATTTTTATCTCTGTGAGGATGGTTTCAGTTATGGGGCTGAATAACTCAACCTGCTGGATAACTTGCTCTCATTTTAAAGTCCCTGTAAATATGCCAGAACTATAAATCATGTCCCTTGTTAAAATTTAAGGCAGAAAATTATAGAAAAATATCAATTAAAAATTAGGGATCATAGTAGGCTGTGGGGTATCAGATCTTTGTTGTATACATTTATTTACAGGTGTTAATTTTAAAATCAAGGCTAGAAGGAACTTACAGATACACTCTGGTCTCTGTATTAATGAAAGCACATATCCACAAAATGCTCTCCTTTAACAACTGAACTGTGCTGCAGGTAGTGAATAGAACAGATCAGATGGTTGTCTTTGTTTAAAGCTTGCAGTGACAGGGAGTTTGAGATGCCCCTTGAATTCAGGTGAACCGTGGAGAAAGACCCAAGGATGCCAGTGAGGTACAAGGGAAAATTACTTCTGAGCCCCAAAGCTGGGTAGTTATGTTCCTGTGGTGTAGCTGACAGCACACAGAGTCAGGTTCAGTCCCCATCTCTAGAAATGGCTGATCCTAAAAGCAGTAAGGAAAGAAAGAAGTAACACAGAATAGTCAAACTGACAATTCACAGAGCCACTATTTATGTCCTAATTGTACCAGAAAACCAGACAAGACAGTGAAATGTGCAATCTGATTGTCAGTATGTTTTATTTTGAACGGCTTTTTAATCTCCCCCAGGGAAGACTGTAAACAAGGCAGATCAGCTCTGTGGATTCCAGACCACTGCTGCCTTGTCCTGCTCACAGCTCTGTGCTACCAAGCTCCTTCCCAAAGCCAAATCAGAGCAAAAGTTGTAAAGCAGTATAACTGCTGTGGTGGTTCTTCAGGCTGTTAGAGAACATGAAAAAAGCTGTCTTGCACTATTCTAAGATTACAAATTACTTGTGTAAGGTTTTTATGTAGCTTAATGCTAACAGTAAATCTCAATAATTTTTTTTCAAATAGTATCTTATAATATTTTTCTATTTGTAGGTATAGAGCCTTCATTTTTGCTCTCACTTTCTTGTTGTATGCCAGCTTCCATTTATCAAGGAAACCTATTAGTATAGTTAAGGTAAGCAAGGTTGCATCCTTGTTTAAACATCCTTCTAATCCTGTCAAACACGGAAGTAGTGACTTTTTAAAGTATTTCCTGTTGTGAAAGGCAATGTTAAAGTTTAACTCGCAGTGCTTTAAAAGATGAGAAACTGATCAAGCTAGTATGCTGTTACATTTACTCGATAAATTTTAGTGAGACCACACCTAGAATATTGTCTATACACGTTATCTCTGGCCTTAAGACTTGAAACAGCTATGCCTATGCTTAATTTGTGTGAATTAATCTAATTATAAATATCTAAGAGTTTACAAGTTTACATTCCTGTGTTTGAGAAAAGTTGCTCATAAGTGATGGATCAAACATGATGAAATTCTACAAGACTTGTTCCAAATACTGTTGAGCATGATAATTATAGCTGCCTATACACTTAGGACTCTGTTCCCAGTGAAGCTGTTGGCAAAAAATTATATAATTCTCAGTTTGTTTCATCTTTGGCCTATGTAACTTCCCAGACACACATCAAAGCCCCAGGGCTGTATTGTGTATAGCTGACGAGTGACAATGTGTAAGGTAGTTTGATGTTAGTGAAGAATTTTGAAATTCTGTAGTATCTGAAACACCACTGTACCATGTTGTTTCTAACCACATAACTACTCTTTCATGTAGTGATTTCACCCAGCAAAAAATATCAAGCAATTACTAATGACTAACAATTGTACTCATTTTGGTGGGTTTGACACAGGTTCATATAGAATTAGAATTGTTAAATTTGTTGCTGCATGGGGATAAAAAGTCACAGGTGAATTTTCCATTTTCAAATTTCCTTTCTGTATCAGGGGGAGCTGCATAAGCATTGTGCTGCTTCACATGAAGTTGAACTCAGCTCCTACAAAGAAGATGCTGCCCAGATTCAGCCTGTCAAAAAAACATCTAACATGTCTCAGTGTGGTTGGGAGCCATTTGGTAAGGGTTGATTTTTAAAATGTTTAGTCTTTTTCTTTCATAATAATGAGCTTATATTCATAATTAGATTATTTGCCTCTTGCTATTTCTTTTTTGTGTGTGGAGTGATTCAGGAGATATGCATGGGATGGGTGTTTTGTTTTCCATGTTCTTGTTGATTTTTCCAAAGTTAAGTTGTGACTTACCTCATGGTGTCTTTCCTACTGAAAGTCACTTAACTGACATTGTTTTACCTGTTAACAGCTATGAGATGGTTTCACTACAATGGCATTTGTCTATTAAGAAAAAAAGGGTGAAGAATAAAATAATATTCTGCTGGTTTAATTCAAGGCCCAGTAATCATTTAAGTGGAATTACTTGGTGTTTATTTAAATTGGAACTTTTCAGAGTCCTTACCTGCCTGAGAGAGTATTTTTCTCTCAGTTTTAATGGAGAAAAATGGGAGACTTCATTGTAGAATAGAGTTCACAACTTACTGAATAGCTTATGAACCTGGGCTTTCATTTAATTAGAAAAAATATTTGGCTACTTACAATTAAATTTGAATTTAATCTTTTTTAATTTAATAGAGATTTTGAGTAATTCCTTGACACTTTTATCACTACCAAGAACATCAGTGAAGTAGAATAGTCCATTCTGTCAGTGTGCCAGTCCACTCCAGTCTATCTGGCCATTCATTCTAATTATTCTTTATTTAGCAATTAAAAAAAAAAAAGTCCTACTCTATTCAAAGATTATTAAGGATCTGAGCTCTGGGTTTTTGTGGACAAAATTCTGTGTATTAACTGCCCTCTGCAAAGTAAGCAGTCTGCTGAAATTATTTAATTCCACAGGTTTCCAAGTATATGGTGTTGTAGTTAAACTTGGTTGATGTTTCTTGTCCCTGGACTAAAGGGAGACTGAATGTGCTTATCTAAGACACTAGTTAGCTTTCTTAATGGAGACTTCTGAGCTCTAGTCTCCTCCTGTTTCCATAAAGACACAGTCTATTGCAAAGCTACCCCTTTCAGATGGCACTCTAGGCTTGTCCTTTCAGCTCTTGTTTTTCAGGCAATGTAGCTGGAAAACTGGGACTAACACTCAAAGAAGGAAAGCTGCAATAACTGTGACTTCATTCTCATAGTCAGTGGGAATTTTGGCTTCTTGCAAAACACACAAACTGTGTTTCTTTGTACGAGCTCGTATCTTTGAAGACTAGACCTTGTATTTCTATCTGGGTGGAGTCCCTCCTGCTCCCTCCATCCTACCTGCAAATCCCATTTATTTGTGATTAGTCATTTGCTGTACAGAGCAGAACACTTTTGATTTTGTTGTGTTTGGTTTTTTTAAACAAGATTTCCATCTCTGTGTCTTGTGAGTAGTTGGAAAATGAAATGCAAAAGGCTTCAACCATTTAAAACTATATATTAAGCTGCTCCCTTAAAACTCTATGAGATGATGGATTTTTTTTAGCCATTTTGACTGTTAGGACCTCACACATTTGCAACATGCCATTTCCACTTTTAATAAAACTGTTAAAGTTTGTTTTTTCTTTTGTCTAATGTCCTATAAGAAAAGGGCAGCTTGTTAATAATTGATGTTTCTTCTCTTCTAAAATGCTGCTTTAAATGAGGGCAGAATTAAGAATAGGCCTACCAGTATTTTCCAAATATATTACATGTAAAAGTCTCAGTTGTAGAAGGGATTGTTTCTGGTAAATAAAATGTTTTGCAAAATGTATGCTTAAGTCTAGAAATGCCTATTGAAAATTAAATGTCAGTACATTTTCACTAACATTTTTCTTCTAATATGTAAAAATGGCTGGGAAGTTATCGTTACATTTAAACTGATTATTTGCTTTGAAATTTCTTCTTAGATAAGAACAACTACAAACAGTTACTAGGAGCGCTGGATTATTCATTTCTATGTGCATATGCAGTTGGAATGTATTTAAGGTAAACCTCCCTTTCTTGGAAACATTATCACTTACTGTTAAATTATGAGGCTCTACTGCTTCTGAGATATTGTCCCTTCTGTAAAGTTTCTGGTAAAGAGAGTGAGAACTTGCTTGCTGGGGGAAAAAAACACCACATCATCCTGAGTTCCCAGTGGTATCATATGTGTTGGTATATAGAAAGCTTCTTACCTGCACCCATCCTGCCTTGTGCAGAAATGCTTTCTGACTTGCAGTCTAGCCTGTCTTTCCTTCATGTGGAATAGGAAGGAATATATGCTGGAATAGGTGTCCTCAAACTTTATCAGTCTCTAGCTTGTCCATGTGAACTAAACTGCTTGTCCTGTCTCTCTTTTTAGGCAGGGCAGAAGCAGGCACCCCCTGAAAAGTAATATTGATCTCATCTTAAAATGTGGAATCTTAGCTGTTGTTTGGAAATGCTTCTTTTTATTGATGAAAACCAGAACCTTCGTAAGGTTCTGGAATTATTAGTAAGGGAGATGAGTCTCACTTTAAATGGCTGCTGACACATCCCATCTGATGGGTCATTTGGAAAATGACTCTGTAAGTAAATGACTTCCAGTGTGTTCCAGGTGTGTATCTCCTGAAATATGGTTGTGCAGATGTCAGCACTTTGCAATTAGCAAACATTTAATGTTTGTTTGTTTTTTCTGTCAAGTGTTAAAAATTGTTCATTTGCTACTGTGAAGGGAAACAGCAGTTGTCAGTGAAGTTTCTCCTCAACCTTAATTGAACAATACCAAATATCCTTTCTCTATGAAGGCTTGGGGTGTGATCTCGTTTTTAATTGTTGCCTTTCTTTTTATTTTCCTTCCACATTCCAAGTGGAATTATAGGAGAACGGCTCCCTATCCGGTACTATCTGACAGTTGGGATGCTTGCTAGCGGACTCTTCACTGCAATGTTTGGACTGGGTTATTTCTATAATGTACACAATCTGTGGTTTTACATAGTGGCTCAGGTAGGCATAATGTTACCTAGGTACTCTCAGTTTCCATGGTGCTGTTCAGTGTTGTATTGGGCTTTTTTTCAGTTGCAAACCGTGATTAGTGGTTGGATAGGAGGATGTAAATGCTGGCATACATAGTTGTTGATGACAGGCAGAAAAGACAGAATGGATAGCCCCAGGGTCTATTATTGAAAAATGTTTGTTTTTTTTAGTGAAAGAAGTCTTTGAAAACAAGTTAAAGCATTTCAATCTGTGTAAAATCAGTGATCATATCTTTGCAAGCTTAAATGTGGGCGAGTTTTAAAACAAATGTATGTACTGTTGTCAGTCTGCCAAGACCTGAGTGATGCATCCTGGCTTTCTCTGCAGAAAAATTACATTATACTGCTAATGATGAACAGTCTCCCACGTTGGTGTGGCTGAGAACAAACAGCTCCTGTAACAAAATTAATTGTGTGGGATTTTTCAGAGCACTTGTAAATGTAATTAGGCGTCTCAAGAATATTTCTCATTGACCTAAAATGGAATTCAGGTCAGGAGCAAGATATGGTTAGCACTTCTGAGTCAGTTTGGACAGGTCTGCACCTTGCATGGCTGCTTTCTTTCTGTTATTGCAGTAGCACTTTCACCACTGGCACGTTTGCATGGCATTGTGCAGCGATACTAACTTGGCTACTACAAGCCTTTTTAACCCTTTCACCAAGTCATCCATTTAACCATATCACTGCCCCAGTGCTCTTGGCTTATGTGGTTTCCAAGACAGGAGCTGGGTCCTTTAGGGTTAAGCTGACTATCTCTACCAATGCTGCACTGCCTGAGGTGGTCAGCAAATCCTGTAATAGCAAGGGTGGTCTCACACCACCAGCCTTATTAGATTTAGTTGGCTAGAGTGAGGTTGTTTTGTTGCATGTTCAAATGCTTATTGTACATGTGAATTATTGTATTGTGATCTTTGTGTTAATCTGTAATTCTAGATAGGAAGTTTTTTAGGAGTTGAGATAACAAAGGGTTATGATCTGTGCAACACGAGGCTGAAATAGTTGTTTTCTTCAGCCTAAATACAGCAAGTGAAGTTTCTCCTCTCAGGTTTATTTACAGATGTGTGTTAAGCATTTTCAAATGAATGTGCCAAGTTACCGAGTCTTCCCTAGAGTTTTATTTTTCTTCCTCTTGATTGCAAACATGCTTTGCTGGATGTTCAAATTGGAATAAGTATCATGTTGCTGTTTGAGCGTGGGGATTAATTTCTCTGTTCAGTTCAGTACAATGTGATTTTTGGTAAGCATGTGATTGAATTACAATTTTTTTGTGGTTTAAATTACAAAATAATTTAAGAAGGGAAGAATCTCTGCAAAACATTGTAACTTGTTTATTCTTGGAAAATAATGTTTTTCAAACCCACCACTAAATTTCTAAATTCAAGGCATTTGTGTAGGCTTCCTTTTCCTAATTCAGCACTCGGCAGGAGTTGTGTAGGAACCCGACCTAGTATATAGTATGTTTATTTATTACTATTTTTATATGCTTTCAGATAGCTAATGGGTTGGTGCAAACTACTGGCTGGCCGAGTGTCGTTACATGTATTGGCAACTGGTTTGGAAAAGGAAGGTAAATAATATGTAACCCAAAGTTTGGAAGTACAGATCAATACATTCTGGGTTGTAACATTATAGTATATTTAAATACCTTTTTTTGGTTCAGTGGGGTTTCTTTTGGGATGAAACAAGCAGTTAGGTAGATCTTTGAGAGGAGTTTCCTTTGTTACACTGCTTAGTTTATATCGGTTTGAAATATTATCTCTTGTGCCATAACAGCTTTCTCTGGTAGCCCTTTAGTCTGATGTTTCTTTTTCAAATGAAATACTTCATAATTGAATTAAGAATAATTCTTGCAAAGATTAACTATCTAAAATCACTTTTAATAAAGACTGTTATTATGCCATTTTAATGTGGAATTTACCATGTTTTCATTTGTGTTTCAACCTAGTTGTGAAGGTATAACTCCAAAAGTATATTTTTGTCTCATGTCTTCTTTTCTAACACACAGAAACCTGAAAATGTAATTAAAAAAGAAAGTACATATGTCTTTTTTAACCTTTTTGTCACTCTCTTTAAATATTTTTTCCCCTTAATCCTGCATAGAGATCACTCATAATCTTTATTTTGTCACACTGTACAGGAGTTTGACATAAATTTTGCAATACCTGCATGCTAAATCCACTGGCTCTGCTAATATTTGAAGCATGTAGCATAAAGTAGTGCTACTATCGTGCTATCCATTGTAGATACATACCACTGAATGAACATTATTGTCAATGGGTTCAAGAGAAGGACTCTATGAAAACTAAGTATATGCTTTCTATATAAAATCATGGGATAGTTAGGAAGGTATAGACTATGTTTTCCATAGTCCCTGCAGTCTTTTTGGCCAATGTTACAAAATGCAGCAAATTATAACCATCATACAATACTGAATAAAAGTGCTAAGTCTATGCAAAACAAATACACTTATTCAGATTTTGCTGTGTGCAAAAGCAACCGCCTTTACTTTTAGGAGGCTGCATAGTGGACTGGTGGATAGGGCTCTGGTCTGAATGTCAGTGGGCTGGTTCTTTTTTTTTTTCAATTTTCTACAAATTTGTGAAATATGAGCACACCTCTTAAGTCTTGTCTTCAGCCAAAGGAAAAGATTTGGTTTAGTTCAAATTATGTTCCTCCAGGTAAATGTCTGCAAGGGCAGGGCAAGGCAGTTTTCCCCTGACTTAAACAGGAAAAAAATGCCTGCTAACAGTGGGATTTTTGTGGTTTACATTATCTCAGCTGGAGCTATTCTGCAACAGCTCTAATCTGGGATTTGCAGACAGACAGCAGTTTGATGTGTATGTTAGCCAAGCTTGCGCAGGTGCTACCTTCTACTAATGCCTAGTATGTTGAGAATGGGATGAGAAAATACTGAATTTGCTCTACCTATCCTGAACAGATATTTTTCTGCTTGGGAAGCATATCCTGAAAGCATCAGGTTATCAGTGCAATTTATTTGCAGGAGGCCTTTTGTTCCTAAAAGCATTGGACTTAGTGTGCATATGCTATGCAATATGTGCATACTTGATTTTATCAAATAAATTCTATCCAGAAATATGCAAGCCCTAGTGGTGCCTTCAAGTGCCATCAAATGTAGGATGAGTTCTGTCATAAACAGAAAAGTATCTAGAACATTTCTATTAATACTTTGGTGCATTCAAATTGCCAGGTGAAAGACTGTGGCATAAAGAAGTGGTCAGTTAAAGAACAAAAAAATTCCAAATAATTCACTAACACCCCAGGTGAACAATTATTTTTTTATACACTTTTCTCAAATAGTAATGGGTATTGTTGAAATAATAATAAATGTTTGTGTTGTGTTGGTTTTTTTTAATGCAGGAGAGGTTTGATTATGGGAATCTGGAATTCACACACTTCAGTGGGAAATATCTTGGGATCCTTAATTGCTGCTTACTGGGTGTCTGCATGCTGGGGTCTCTCCTTCGTGGTGCCTGGTGTGATCATTGCTGTGATGGGGATTGTTTGTTTCCTGTTTCTTATTGAACGTAAGTGGTTTAATTAGATAGAATCATGAAGGGCTCATTATGGGTGAAGAACACCAGCTATTTAAGCTAAATGACCCTGTACAATGTATATTCCCCAAGCCATGCCAATACTTCAAGAACTTCTTCCTAGAACACTAGATGGAGAAGAGCCTATGTATATCTAAAGAGTTTATATGCTCAGACTCTGGCATATGTGAGAGAGTAACACTTCAGAATTCAGTGCACTGCCCTGTCATTACTTCCTTGTCTTTATAAATTGTTCAAGTGTGTCTTAGCAGAATATCCCACCTGGCTGCAGTGCATATTCTGTGCTGTCATTCAACCCATGCCGTTTGTATGCAGTGCTATGAAATGCAGAAATCAGCTGCTAGAGCAAGTTTTGTCACTTTAAAGTAGAAGGACTGTCCCCATTTTGTCCTTACGTAGACTCAGAAACACACAGGTAGAAATGCTGATTTTACTGTAAATGTCCTATCTCGGCAGATATAACTAGAATGCTGTAACGAGCTGGACTGCCAGAATAGCACTTAATGTGGCCATAGGATGGGAGGGGTACCATGGAGCACCCTTGTCTTTTTCCCTAGAGTTACAGTTGCACTTTTCTACCAGGACTATATCTGTGGTTTCCGTATTGTTGGTTTATTGTTAGTAAATTACACTAACGGTGTTTTAAGAGATACTTATTATGCTTGTTTGCACTATTAACCATGTGCTGTATTTTATTTCAGATCCTAAAGATATAAGTTGTTCCTGCAAACCATCCAGTGTAAGTGAATGCTTTTTCTGTTTTGTTTTTTGCCTCCTAATGCACATGTTTGTTATGATAGTTCTGGAAAGCAGATAATCTGCACACCCTTTTGTGCCAGGGTGTTGCAACTGACCCTATACTTTAGGGAATGATTGATCTTCTGTGTGGTAAACTTGTAGCTTACTTTATATCAAAGCAATGTGAATCAAGAAGTGAATCAGTTTGCTTTAACTCACGTTTTGGAATAGATGATCTTGCTACACTAAACCAAGTGAAAGTTGTTGATTTATATTTGGGTGGGGTTTTTTTCTTCTTCTAATCAGCCTGGCCACCTGCAAAGCATTTTGACCTATCTCCTGTTCTTGTCTTCTTTGCTTAGTTATGGCATAATGAGGTAGCTATCAACCATATAATGTTTGAGAACCCTGAATTAGGCATTACAGAAGAAAAAGCAAACAGCCCTTCTGCAGCTATAGTATCAATGAACCATGCATCTGTGGGCTTGGGGCTGGAAGGTTAGATAGAGGGAAGGACAACAGGACCATATGGCTAGGGAAAAGAGAAGCAAGGTGTGGATATGAAGCTGAGGTGAAGAGGTTGGAGCAAACAGTCTGTTTGTGACAGTGAGTTTTAGTCATGATAGAATATGGCCTTTATTTAACCAAAACTGACATTAATGAAGAGCTGTGAAAAGATGAGCGAAGTACTCTGTGCTTAGTGGTAATGGACATGAGAAATCAATGCTTTATTTCTTGTGACATCACAGAATAATTTGGGTTGGAAGGGACAGGACCTCTGGATATTGTATCCAACCCTCTGCGTGTAGTAGTTCTGAATTAGGATCAAAACGCTTAGGTCTTCCCTGTAAAATTTTGATTTCCTCAAGGATGGAGATACTGTTTATACATCAATGCTTTTAAAAAAATATATAGTGAGTTTTTAGAATGCATTGATCATATGTTTTACTGGTGTTGAGGCATTGGATCTCGCTATAGTATGACAGCTTATGCTTCAAGGACTTACGTTTTGGCAAGGAAGGGAACTTCTCTAAGCTGTAAATACACTTACACACACAAACTGCAGAATGCATACTGCCTGGATCACAACGGAAAATGCAGCTCTTTTGACACAAGAGTTGGAAAAGCCAGCACCAGAGATTACCTGCTAAAGGTATTGTTGAAGCAGGATCATAGAATCATATCCTAGAATGGTTTGGGTTGGAAGGGACCTTTAAGATCATCATTCCAACTTCCCAGCATGGGCACCTTCCAGTAGACCAGGTTGCTCAAAGCCCTGTCCGACCTGGCCTTGAACACTTCCAAGGAGAGGCATTCACAACCTCCCTGTGCAACCTGTTCCAGTGTCACCATCCTCACAGTAAAGAATTTCTTCCTAATGTCTAACCTGAATCTACCCTCTTCCAGCTTAAAACCATTATCCCTCATCCTATCACTACACACTCGGGTAAAAAGTTTCTCCCCAGCTTTCCTGTAGGCCCCTTTCAAGTACTGGGAAGCTGCTGTAAGGTCTCCTCAGAGCCTTCTCTTCTCCAGGCTGAACAGCCCCAGCTCTCTCAGCCTGACTTCATAGCAGAGGTGCTCCAGAGAGAAATATTCCTTTCTTGCCTCATGTAGCTGTAGCCCTAGAGGAGGGAGGCAACCAGTTCTGCCACATTTTTAACTAGTCTGCCACATTTTTAACTAGTTATTTGGAAGAATACTAGGGGGAGATGTGCAAAGAAAGTCTTAAGGTTTCCCATGTGTGAGGGCAAATTGGGGCTATTGGGGAAAGTGCCAGAAGGAAGGTCCCAATGGAAATCCCACTTAGCTTTTCCTGTACTAGGAAAAGTGTGATACACGGACACTGTCTGCATGTGTAGGTATGTGTGAACTTCACTTTCCAGTTGCAAGTTTCACAGGTAGCTTGTGCAGGGATAATTGCTGTTTATTTACCCACATCCACCAGTAGTTTCAAACCAATGGCTTTTTACATTTTAAATGTTTGGGGGTTTTTTATGAATACTAACTGGAGATGACTTTTCTAGTTTGTGTTATCTCTTCTTTACCAGTTAAGGGATTTTATATTTTTTTCCCCTCATATGGAGTACTCCTCATAAAGCTTCTGAAAACCTTAGTTTGTGAAACTCCTGGTTTTAGTATGTTACTGTGAGATAAGCTGTGCTCACAATGCACTCTGTATTTTTCATTAAATTCTCTGAAGGTAATATATGTCAAGTAAGAGAATATTTTAAAGACACGTCTAACAGGAGGCACTTTTAACCTTAGCTTTCATGAAGTTTAGAAGTGTTCCTGTGAACATTTCAGCTGCTGTTTATAATACCTAGAAAATAATGTTTACAGAATTTGCTGTTAAGCTTTATGGAAGTAAAGGTTTCTTATTTTTTTCAGATACATTTTTACTGGAAAGCATAGCTAAAGACTTCTGCACAATTTGTTGCTCATATGTCTCAAGGGGCTGGTATGAAAAAATCCCTGATATTCATTATCTACTTGCTGTGGTATTTTCAACAAAAATGTAGTATTTTAGGGGCTTTTTTCTTCTTCCATTCACCATCCTTGATCCCATTCCCAGCAAGGGGCTATCACTTGACCTGATCTTCTCTAGGACATCAGCACGATCACTGCTTCAGGCATAGTCTCATTGTGTAGGGATGCATTTGACCTTCTGTTTCCCTAGAAACCATCCTCTCCAGAGCAAAAGGCTTCACTTCTTCGTTCCCTGTTCCATATATTCACATCTGCAAATGTAGTAAGAGGTTTACAAATGTGCTTCCCCACCTGCCTTGGACCTTTCTCAGATTAAGTTTTTGTCTTTGGAAGTTTGCCATATGAATTGCTCACTCTTCACTTCAGCCCTGTGTGGTCAGCAAAGTATAATGGATTCTAAATCCTTAGCCAGTAGGGCTCACAGCTTCAAGAAGATCTACAAATGCAGATGTGACAGTGATTGTTTCTGATCATAAAGAAAAAATGATTGCTAATTGAAGGAAGGCTGCATAATAAAATAGACTGTGTTATTAAGGAAAATATAAAAAAATCAGCCATGTTGTACAAAGAGTAGAATTTGCTAGCAGGCCTAAAGTGCTAGCTGCCCTTTTTTTGCTCAGTCATTTCAGGTGACAGCCTGAACTGTGTGCTTTTGCGAACAGTTAGCAAAGGTTTTTTTCTAGAAAATTAAAGAAACATACACAGTTTATTTGCTTATAAGGCTGTATTAGGTCACTTTGGACAGATGTCTTGGTTAGGTGCAGGCAGCTCTGCCTGCTGGTGCCAAAAGCTGAACCTCCTTGTAGATGAATGAGGCCAGTTAGATTTAAGCACAACTAAAATATATGCTGGACAGGAGAGACGGACTTAAGGTAGATTTATGTTAAGATTTATAGATCAGATTCATCTCTATGCGGTATCACTATCTTGGATGAATTAGGTCTACTGTTTATTTGCAGCATAATTATAAGCCCAGTATTTCTACAGAGTTTGTCGTGGTGAGTAGTCTGATTTCATTGACTTGTCCAGAAGCACAGAGAGAGCCAGGCACCAGCCCTTGAGTGCACTGTTCTTATTCTTTATTCACCATTTTTTTTTGGTTGTGCTTTGCTTGCCTGTATTTGCCTTGGCTCTGGTTTTATGAACCTGAAATTATTTCAAAACGAGTATTTGAGTACAATAAAGTGCTTTAAAATGGTAGCATTGGAGGCTGTTGCGGACCAACAACGTCAGGACTGTTCTCCACAAAGGTTTGACATAGGACTTTCCAAAAGGCTATGCCTATGACAAATGCCAAGAGACGTCTGTGTGCTTTATTAAGCATTCGTGCACTTCCATAGTGAAAGTTTAAAAGTATATTTAATGGTATTTAGAACTTCTTTTGTTGCTTCTCATCGTTTTCCCCTCTACATGTTTTTCATAGGTAAACACCATCGTTGCCGCATGTTCGTACAGACTGACTGTTCTAGGAACTTTCCTTAACCTGACTATGCATTTCCAGGAAGCCTAGTGCTCTTAAACTCCTATGGCAAAATGCATTTAAAAGGCACCAGGCTGCAATTTTTATCTTCTGAAAAGGAGAAAAAAGTATTAAATATGCAGCCTTTCTGTCTAGTCCTTATCCTCAGACATTTCCTCTTTACCACAGTAAATCTTATTTTTGACAGTCAAATAAAAAAGCTTTTCATTTTTCTCTGCTGAGCTGCTAAATAAAAACATAGATTACTTGTCTCTAGATAATGGATTTTCTTCCCCACAGATATATTTTAAATCACTTTCTTGACAAGTGCGTGATCTTCTGTAAGATAAAATTTTAAATCTGTTTTATCAGACCCTGGGGGGTTTGAGTGGTGTTTGTTTATTTTGGGGAATGCACGCCCAGGACTGCTTGCACCTCAGCTCTGCGTTGAGCAACCATCCTTGCCCTGTAGAGTATTTTTGCTGTCTTAGAAGGATTTGGTTGATGCATAGTAGTTTGTCTATAAAATACTACAATACACATCCGTGTATTTTTGTTGGGAAAAAATTACCTAGTGATTTATTTTGAATTAAAATATTCAGTGAGGATGGACATGTTTGAGTTTTTTTAATTTATGGTGGTGGTTTTGAGGGGTTTTATTTGAGGCAGGTTTTTTAGGGTTTTTTTTATGTGGCATTCAGAGTGTGATTAGACACTTAAGCAAACATCCCATCCCTGAAGAATGTACACTGCCTCTTAGTGGCCTTAGCAATAGGTTGTCCGTACCTGACTGCACACTTATTATAAAGCTGTATATTTCATTTGGAAGATAAACCTTAATTTCCCTAGCAAATCTTTTTAGACCACAGATCTCAAAACTATGTTTTCCAATTAATGAAATTTGATATGAACCAATACACTGATGCGTGTTAATAAGTAAGTATAAAAAGTAGGTCCATCCTTGTTGCCTCAGTTTCTGTACTGAGCAGGCTGGAAGTGCTCAGACTCTCCATTAACCCTCCTGCCCCCAAGACCACAGTCTGTTCCTGTTTTAGAAGAATATAGTGAGCATAAACTTAAGTGGTGAACTTTAAAAGAATAAGGAAATAAAGAATCACGGTTTTCCTGAAACAAATCAACTTCTGTAGCTACTACTAGGATCATCTGCATTTGAGGAAAAATGAAGTTTGCAACATCAATGAAAGTTCTGCAGAGGAAAAGGCAGCTGAAACTGTTAAGAATCGTGTGTCTGTGCTCTGAATTCAGTATGTGGCTTCTGTATAAAGACAGTATGAAGTTAGGCTTCAAATGAGTTTTTTATTGCATTTTACTTACATTGCCATAGGTCTGCATAAGAACTTAAAACCCCAAATTCACAGTAATTAAAGATGCTCCATATGTTTGTTGCAATGCACAAAGACTTTAGATATAGAGAAATTATTAATACTACTGTAATCTTTTAAAAAACAAGCAACAAAAATATGGTGGGTTTTGTTTATCTTTGGTTTTATTTTTTAGATTTCTAAAACCGTCCTGAATGGTGCATCTCGATTCAGAGTCCAGATGCCGACCTTAAATGCTAAGGAAACCAGCAAGCCCCAGGTAAAATATAACATTATTTTAATAGTATAAAGACTTCCTAAAGCTCACATGGAATGTTTACGGTACATTTACTATTGTTGAAGTTTGTTCTTCCTTTTATAATGCTGTAATCTACTTCCCTTTTCACGCACACATAGCCACATGTAATTTCAGACAAGGGAAACAGGCATTACTGCAAACTGAGCTGAGTAAGCATGTTTACTTGGTCTTAATTTTTAACCTTCGTATAAAGGCAGCAAAAGTAATGTACTGCAAAATATTTTTTGAAGTATCCCATTTGAAATCTTAAAGCTACTTATACCATGTTTATCCCCTCTTTGCAGTCTCACCTCTCTCCCTTTTTAATGTAATAGATGTGTGTACTTCCAAGGTTATACATGGAGACAGAGTTCTAATATGAGCAGTTATTCACAGGAATGCTGCTTAAGACTTGTGCTGGTAATTCTCACTGGGAAGTTACTTCTGGATTTCCCCATTTTGGGGTAAAAAGACTTTTTATCTTGTGAGGGATATTAACTGAAAATTTCCATTAGCAGTGTTGTTATTCAGTACACTTGGCACACTGCATCCTGAGAGGATAACTTTTTTCTTTAACTTCTTTCAAGCTTTTACAGGAAAATAGAAGCTTTCTGTTCTTTTCATCCTTTGCCCTTAGAATAATAATCAGCATGCACTGAGTATAATAATTAATGTTGATGAAGAAGTTGAAATTTTTGCTAAGGCAACACTTCACTCGTAATTTTGATCTGTCCAACTTAAACTCCTTCTGTATTTAGTTTATTCATGTTCATTTTGAGCTGCCCAAGAACAGTCTCCAGCCCAGAAACCACTTGTCAATGTTGTTTCACAACCAGCTGGAAAATAAGGGGAGAAGTTAGACAAGTCATGAAGTCAGAGATCACAGAATCACAGAATCTTAGGTGTTGGAAGGGGCCTCGAAAGATCATCTAGTCCAACCCCCCTGCCAGAGCAGGATCATAACTATAGTCAGCAAAACAGTAGACAAAGATTTCACTTCTAACTCTGTTTCTACCTCTACTGCCAGCATGTGCAAAGGGTCTGCACAGTGAGTGAGCAAGAGGGTATACCCCTCTCTCCCACTGACTGGTGTTACCATGTGAGCAGGACAGAGGCTCATCATGGACAACAAAGCATGAGGGCACTTGCTGTTGCTGGCAATCCTGTCAATGTTCTTTTTTTTTTTTTTCCCTTTTTCTTCCTCCATCCATCCTTCCAGCTGGGCTTTACATTTGTGGTATGGAGTACTAACAAGTCTTTAAAAAGAAATTAATAAAAAAATCCTTGTTTGGCACCCCCTTATTTTCTGCCAGTGACAAAACATAATCATATTCCTGAAAGAAGTATAGCTGAACATTTTTCCTTTTTACAGTGGTTGTGTTACAATTATGCTGAGCTGATTGTCACAGTGAGCTTTATGCCTGTAAAAACAACAGATGTTTTGGATTTATGAGCTGGTCTCCTCCAAACCCCATGGAATATCAGTTTTTACTGATTTTTCAATGACCTCTACAGTTACTCTAAGAAGGAAGGAAATATTCAGGATATATAATGATTGAAAACAGAATGTGTTTTTGGTTGCATGACCTGAATACCTCTGTGTGTTCATTACCACTTTTGTATCAGGTTGGCCCTTAAAAATTGCACAAAATTGAGGGATAATGAATCCTCCCTCAGAGATCAAAAGTCTGCCATATGTGTAATCACACTCTATGACAAGCTGGCAAGGCTGAAAAATGTTCTCTCTGCCAAGCATAAACTGCGGTTTTTATTTATTATTTAGCTATGTGCAGTATACAAGTCCCATATTGTTGATAAAATTTTCCAGCATGACTCGCTAAATTTGGACTTTGGTCACTTCCACTTCAATATTTAACCCTCTCTCCTTAAACAGGCTTGGAGCTACCTGTCTGAGAAATGAGTAGCACTACCTCAGATAATCCTGGTTAGGGTTGCTGTGCAAATTGTGCAAGAGATACTTGTTTAAGACACTATCTGGACATATCTTGTATCTTCTGTTGAATCCAGTGAGGAGCTTCACTGCATAAGCCCTTTTGGTTTGTTTGGTTTTTTTCAGTGTTTCTAGCTAGTGGTTTGAATTGCTATTGTTAAAATAGTTCAAATTTTAAAGTTGGTCCAGTAATGCAGCAAATCAGTATTAATGATGATGATGGAGTGACCCATGTGCCATACGTGCCATTACAGTGTCATGTCAGAGGTCCCAAAATGCTTTTCCTGTCTTCTAGTTAATGATCCATCAGGGTGTACTGTCTCTTGTAAATCCTGCATCCTGTCTATCAATCCTATGAAAACATTTTGGATGCTGCATGGTGGCTTCTAAAATTATAGGAAGTGCCTGGGCTCAGATGACCAGATAGTTTCCTAGTGTTTTCTTCTAAATTATGTTCTTTAAAAACAGAATTTCTTTAGAATCACCGAGTGTAAAACAGCAGAATTAAGTTTGCCCAACACTTGATTGGTTTTTTCTCTCTTCCTCCATCAGCTTACCAAATATTAATCAGAAAGTTGTCAGCTTTGTAATAACTACAGGAAATGGAATAGTCTGCCGTTTTACCCAGGCTTAATTCTTCACTAAGGCTTTATTCAAATGCAAAAGAATTGGGAGAAATAAAGCAGTATGTAGAATACTTCCAGAGCTGATAAAAGTAAACAGCTAGGTAAACTTCTCAGTGAGCAGGTGAAAGTGAAGATAGCTACATCCTGCCCTTTTTCTGAGTTGGAAAAGAAGCACTGTGGACTATTTATACCTGAAATTTCTTTTTTTATGTACAGCTGTAAGATGTAAATTTCCACTTCTATTCCAAGAGTTCACTTCAGTGTGGTGCATGGATAAAAATAACGATTTCCTCATGTTATCTGGAATGACTCATGATAGACTGCAATGACTTGTCCTTGTTAAGTGATAACTTATTCCACAAGTATTCTTAGCAGCCAGTGGAATTATTAGAGTAAAATCCTTCCTAATGCTGGAAAATAACTCAGATTTCACAACTTAGGTAATATTGGTAAACTCCAGATTTTTATAACTTGTGGATTGCTCAAATGAAACAGATACGGAAAATAAAAGTTATTGCTTTACATATAGCACCCAGGATGAATAACTCAGTTAGAAAGATGACCTATATTTAAATTGCTGAGTAAGATGATGTTACAGAATCTGAAAAATGGGCTTCATATTTGTACAGAGAGAAGATAATAACGTGCTTTTAAACAGAAATGTGTTGTGGTACTAAGTAGATTGTCAATTTTGATTAGACCATATTTATATAGTGAGTTAAGAGAAGAATGGATATGGTTTTGTTCTATTGAATTGTACTCTAATATATGTTTTTTGCAACTTGGAATTGTTCCACAATAGAAGAGAAATTTGATTCTTTAATGGAGTGTATGTACTCAGACATAAACAACCGGACTTATTTCACTCAATGTGCTGTGTGTGCTCTCTGCTTATACTCTGCATATCCAAATCAGAAGCTTTTGAAAAGCTGCAACTTTCTGTGATAAAATATATAATTTAAAAAAATATTTTGGACTTATTTGAGTCCTTAGTATGATTTTTAATGCATTGTTCTTTTTTTTTTTTTCCATATATTGTTGCTGTGGGAATTGACAGGATCCAGAGATGCAGCATTTACTGACTGACAGTGAAAACTGCAGTGTGTCACTGAACTCCAGCACTGTTGCAGGCACTGGGGAGGGCAGACATGGGACATCAGCTATCAGCTTCCTTGGAGCCTTGCGAATACCTGTGAGTACATGTGCTATTCATGCTTGTTTCATTAGGAATTAAGTTTTGCCTTGGAATTCATATTTCCATGAAGTTCTAGACAGAGTGGTAGGATGTCATTAACTTTGCATCACAAGCTTTGATTGGCAACTCTGGTGTCTATAGGCTAAAGCTGATTTTGGTACACAAGACAAGGTGTGCCCCTTCTAGAGGTGGAGTGAAAGTCAATACTGGAGTACTCTGTTCCCCAGTAAGCAGATGGCATAAGCTCACTGGTTGCATCTTAGAAACTACAAGCATTTAGGATCCAGTACCTATATTAACCATTGGGGTTTTTTTCCATCTGATTATGACTAATACTAAAGCAGCCTGTAATGTAAAATGCATTTTTTGTCTGAGTCTTTAATAATATTGATAGATCTTGGGTTGCCCACTCCACTGAATCAGAGGACTGTGAGTGTGGGAACAGTGACTTTCCATTTGTGGACGCTGAAACTGTAAGAGATGAGCTGTGTCAGCTGAATGTTCACAAGTCCATGGGGCCTGATGGGAATCATCCCAGAGTAATGAAGGAGCTAGCAGATGTTACAGCAGGACCCCTCTGAATCATCTTACCAAGTGTCTTGGGAGGTCCCTGCTGACTGGAAGCTGGCCAGCCTTATTCCAGTCTACAGAAGGGGTGTGAGGAAAGGCCCAGGGAACTGTGGGCCTGTTAGTTTAACCTCATTTCTTGGCAAAATTATGGAAAAGATTATACTGAGTACTGTGGAAAGGCATTTAAATAATAATGCAGTCATCAGGCACAGTCAACATGGTATCAGAAAGGGAAAGTCTTATTTAACTAGTTTGATCTCCTTCTGTGATAAAGTTGCCAGTCTAGTGGGTGAAGGGAAGGCAGTGGCGGTAGTTTCTCTGGATTTTAGTAAGGCTTTTGATACTGTCCCTCACAGCATCCTTCTGAATAAGTTGTCCAGCTGTGGGATGAGTTCACGGTGTGCTTGAGTGAAGAACTGGCTGGATTGCAAAGCTCAAAGGGTTGTAGAGAGTGGGCATACAGTGGCTGGTGACCAGTCACTAGTAGCGTTCCTCACGGCTCAATTGTAGGGCCAGTTCTGTTCCATATATTTATCAACGACCTGGGTAAAGGAGCTGAATGCACCATTAGCATCGTACTGTGTGCTGTTCTGGGTCCCACCATTTAGGAAGGATGTCAAGGTCTCTGCATCTGGAGAAGGGTAACAAAGCTGGTGAAAGGTTTGGAAGGAGTGTCCCATGATGAGCGGCAGAGGACTTTGGGTTTGTCTAGTTTGGAGAAAAGGAAGCTAAGGGGTGACCTCGTTGCTTTCTACAGCTTCCTGAAGAGGATTAGTGGAGTGGGAGGTGCTGAATTATTTGCCTTGGTATCTATCCAGTGATAGGACATGTGGAAATGGTTCTGAGTTGTAGCAGGGGAGGTTTATACTGGACGTTGGGAAGCATTTCTTTACCAAGGTGGTCAAACTCTGGAACAAGCTTCCTCTAGAGGTGGTTGATGCCCCAAGTCTGTCAGCATTTGAGGCATTTGGACAACGCCCCTAATAACATGCTTTAAGTTTTGGTCAAGCAGTTGGACTAGATGATCATTGTATATCCCTTTCAACTGGAATTGGCTGTTCTATTCTGAAATCTGTTTTAAAAGTTTACTGGTCTTAGTTAATGACACATGGATATTAAGGGTGGAATAGCAGGCTGAGTCTCTAAGCACTTCTCTGTGTCAGAACTTCCCTCCATGGCTTCCATTTTACACTGCTCAAAACTGGCTTTAAAAGCTTTAATTTTAAAATCTCTTGTATGGCTTACATTGAGAAGTTTCAGAAAGCCCAAATGTTTGGACTACTGGTGAAAGGAAAGGAGGTTTCCTTTAAATGAGGAACTATGATCCTTGATTGTCCTCTCAGCTTGAAACCTAGTAGCTTTGGTGGGTTGTTCAAGAAGAATTAGACGCAAATTGATTTGGACCAGGTGTAAGGATTAGGGGAGGAAATCCCCAGCACCCAACCACTGTATCCCTTCACCTTCTCATCCTGTCCAGTCTGATCTTCTGCCTCAACTGTTTCCTGTGGCAAAGTGGAAGTAATGGATAGAAAAGTAGCTGCTGCTGCCACCTGGAATCTCTGTTACTCTCTGGCTTTTTTCCTGACTGTTGTTGTAAAGGGTCAAAACTGTATGTGAAGTAGAGCCCAGTGTGTATGTATGTTGTCCATGCAGGTAGCTGCAGTACTCTTACCAGGGTTTTCAGAAATCTGGTTTCAAACAAAATGATATCAGATGGCGATGGCAATGAAGATAGGTTAATTTGGCAGTATAGTTACAGCTCTATTCAGTAAGTGTACTTTTCATGTATTTTTCTTTTCCTCTAGCAGGAAAGAGGATGGAACAAATTAATATTTTAAATAGGCATATGCCCTGTGTGTAATGTGCTTTTACCACATACTGATTTGAACTGTGTCTCACTGGTTAACTGGCTTTTTGTAAAGAGTTAAATAATAATTGTAGACCCATCTGAAGATTTAAAGGACATAACACCGATATTTCAGGAATACACTCCAAACCTGCTGTCACGCTGTATAAAAATTTTTTGCATGAAGAAAATAAGTGATGCTGGTGTCCCAAACAGTGTCAGATCCTTCCAGTTTATTTTAGTGTTCTCTCTTTGGTCAATTCAGTACAATTCAAGAGTAGAGAAAGCATATGAGTAAAATATCACAGTCTGCTCTGATTGTAAGCTTTGTGCTCTCAGGGGAAGAGTGCATCTTGGGAATTCCTGAGAGAAAATAAAAGCCTAAGTGCTTCTTAGAAACAATTTTCGTAATGGTCTTTGGAAGCAAATAGCAGTCTCTTTCAATATACTAATTTCCTGTTTTCTTTATTCTCTCAGGGAGTCATAGAGTTCTCCCTTTGTCTTCTGTTTGCAAAGCTGGTGAGCTATACTTTCCTCTTCTGGCTTCCTCTCTATATCACAAATGTGGGTAAGTACAACAGTAAGCAAATACAGAATTCTGTCTACAAAGCATCTGGAAATAAGATCTTGAAAGAAATAAGAAACGTTACTACTTCTGAAATAGTCTGTCTTTGCTACAGTAGCAGGAAAATTATAAGTTGCAACTGACATATTTCTCAGTTTTATTAATTCAGTATTTGAAAAGGCATTTTCAAAACAAATGAACAAAAAATGAATATGGCATATCCTCAGTTTAAATGAGTTTAAATATTGTGTCTTTGGCTCTTGTGAATCAATCAAAAAGGTTTGCTTTCTAAAATTGTTTTTACATTATAGAAATGCCTGATTAAAATGTGTAAAAATAAAAACATCTAAAAAAGCTTCTTTATCTATTCAGTACTGCTTTTTTTGTTTTGTGCTGTAGAATGCAGAGAATGGAGTTCTCCCTAGCCAGAGAAACTAATGTCTTTGTGAGTCATGATGTGACCTTTAAAACCCCCAGCTAACAAAAAAGCTGTGGGGGACAAGTGTGGCAGTAACAACCAGCAGAGAGAGGCAGGTTGAACAATCTATAAAAACTCATAGAGATGCAAATCCTATAGCTAAAGGCTGTTTGTGTGTGGGCTCCAGGTAACCAGTGCTTCTGCAGGACCGAGTACCTTGCAATCAGTGAGATTTTGATAGAAAGGTTAAAGCTATTTAGCACAGTGCTGCTACCGTTGAGATTGTTGTAGGGTCACTGACACTGTATTTCAGAGATTAAAAAAAAAATAATTTAAAAAAAAGGAGTTTAGAAATTCAGCTTGTTTTGAAACTTTACCATTAACATGGTAGGACTGGGTTGCCCAGCCTTCTCGTGTATGTCTGAAAATCTGACCCCATCGTTTATTGGTAACTACGTGTGAGTTTGTGCTAAATGGTCTTCACTGCTTCTGGCAAACAGTGCAGTTACAGAAATGGCTGCCTCTTCCCTTTATAGTCCCCATAAACTGCAGAGTACATGTTGTGCCAAGCATGGTTGCTAGTCTTAATTTTATGTATAAGATGCCTTTACCCCCTCACATGACAAGACTGTGTTGAGATTTCTGCATTGTGTAGTCTGGAAATGAGACAAATATTTTTCTTTTGTCACTAGAACATCTTGATGCCAAAAGAGCTGGGGACCTTTCTACACTGTTTGATGTGGGTGGAATCTTTGGTAAGTTTTATATATTAATGTTTCATACTTGGTCAGACTAGTTTAGGAGAAGTTGTGGTATGCACAGCTTATGTATATTATTAGTCCTTATCCCTTATGTCCAGTGAAGAAAAGTGACAGTAAAGGTACTAAGTTGAGAGGCTGGCTATTGAAAACACAGCTAAGTATCTTCAAACTGAACAACTCTCAGAGCCAATGGTGCCCAGTACAGATTTTAAGAACCCAATACTATGGAATTTTTTACCTCCACCAGCTCTGGCTTTTGTGTCTTGGTCATGCCACCTCTCAAAATACCTTCCTGCTCTAACATAACAACACTGTTTCAGCTTGTACAGTTTTGTATTTTTTGTGGTCACAGAGGTGAGTGGCCACAGGTGTTTTGGTTTATTTTCTTGATGCCTCATATAAATGTATGTGATAAACTTCAGAGTTTGTAATAATGCTAAGGATGAGAATATTCCTTTGTAGTTTGTGAGAGGTGACCTCTGAATAATTAAATGTTTATGCCAGTGCAGACAATATAGCTCACAATAAAAGAAGCATCATCATCTTGATGCCCACCTGATTTGTGTGACCTCCACTTTCCCCAGTTCCGTTATGGGCTCTTTATCAGTCTGTTGGAAAATTATACTCATGCTGGAGAAGTTTCACTGGATTAAGCGTGGTGTAGACCCTGGTAGTTCAAGATACAGGTGTCATGGTGTGGTGCAGTTACTGCTCCAGTCTTGTGCTGAATGTGACTTCTGCCATTTCTTATTTCATCCCAGATAGCTGGAAGCCAGAGTTAGTTATACCTTAGAGATGGGAGTGACTTCTTTCAGCAGCATCCTTTTCCACTGTGAATACCATCTTAACAAGGTGTCACGTGCTGCTTGGACCTTTTGTGTTTGCATTTTAATTCAAGCAGGATGTGAGTGCTTTGGAGATGGGCAGCTGGGAAGGTAGAGGCAGGCCCAGCAATATTTATCAATATGGAGAATCCAGAAATCTTCCATTCCTTCTCCCTTTGCATCATTTTGGCAGCTCTTCCCCTCAGGCCTTCCAGTCCCCTCCTGCCACACGCTCTGATTAGTACTTCTGTATACAACCCTTGGCAATATGAAAAGTAGGGAACAATAAAGAGCCTGGAGTAGCTGCCTGAAGAGAAAACCAAATATTTCATTTGCCCCAAGATCTAGCATAGCTCATTTCCCCTGGTTGCAGTGCCAAATGGATAGAGTGCTCAGGAGCCAATGTTAGAGTTAGGAGTTGAGATCAGTGAATAGTGGGCATGGTTGGATTCCAGGGTTCCAGCAGTGGAGCCACGTGGCACCTGGTGAAAAGACTTCTTGCATTCAAAAGCAGCAGAACAACAATTTCTAAATACTTCTTCCATATCTGTCCTGCCTTGTCATCTCGGATATTTGGCTGGCTTAAAAAAGGAGGAACAACTGTCTGCTCCTGTTATGTTCTGAGTCAAAACTGGTTGGGTTAATAAGGATATTGCGAAGTGCAAATTACGTTGTCTCGTGCTCTGTGCTGCTGTGTGTAAGCAAACATTAAAAGTTCTATCCTATTGTTTTAATCTGGGTCAGGTTTCATCAAGTATGACTAATGTCTTTTGTGTAAAATGTGCACAGACTGTTTTCCCCACATGCCTGTCTCTCCTTTCAGGTGGAATTTTGGCAGGCCTGATTTCTGACAGGCTGGAGAAGAGGGCGTCAACCTGTGGAATGATGTTACTGCTTGCAGCACCCACAGTAAGAGTTTGCCACTCTCTTAATAGCTGCAGCTCAGATTTTGACAGCATTCCTTGTGAAGTTCTGCACACAGCATCTTCCAACATGGATATAAAGAACTCAGGCCAGGCTAAAAGCTGGCATAAAAAGTTGAGCATGTGAGCGAGTACAGACATTTGGGCTGCCTTTACTAAACAAGCAAACAAGTCTAGTGCATAGCTTGTTACAGGACGGTGTAAATTTTATCACTGTTTGGTGTCTGTTCTGGCCAGAATTTTAGCTGCTCAAAGGCTAAAATTTCTGTGCTGTAACTGTTAGTAAACTGGCAGTTGGACATATGAGGTACATTTTTCTTTAAGTTTGTATTCTTTTGTGAACAGTATTCTGTGCTATGTTTAAGCTTGCAACTGGAGAGCTTAAAACTGGGTGATCTCATAACACAGCCCTTTCTTCTGAAAAAGGGTATATATATTGAGGAATAGGAGCTTACCCCTTATTTCCCTCCTCTGTCCAATCAACCAGCCATCTTGCTGTGGTCTAAAAGTGTTTTGTAAAACCTAGAATGCTAGAACTAGCTTTCACATAATTTTAAGATATTTTTAGTTATTGGGGGTGGGGGGGGAAATGGGGAACCTAAGATTAGTACGTATGTTGGTATTCAACATGTTTGGTTTTTTTTCTTTACAGTTGTACATGTTCTCTGCAATCAGTAAAATGGGCCTTGAGGCTACTGTATGTGAGTATTTTTAAGTTATCTTCTGCCTGGCTTTATGTGAAATTTTTGTTTATGATCCTTCAGTGCCCTTCTGTCCTTTTTTTTTTTTTTAGGTTTTGTTTTTGGTTTTTTTTTCCCTGAGAGAAGGAAGCATGGGATCAAATTCCCAAGGCTTTGACTTGCAGGCTTTTTAATGTGATAAGGAAGGAGGCTAGGAAATAAGTCTGGAGTGGCCTGAGAACGGTGATTTAGTTAATGTCATTAGTCTTCTTTCTGGAGCTTGTTGCTTCAGCACAGGCTGTCAGAGTTGTTTAAAGGCTACTTGGAGTGCTTTTGACAGCAACATTAAATAGTTACGGCTGAATTAATTTGTGTCTTTGTTGCCTCAAAACAGAAGCTGAAGCACAAGTACTGACAGTGATGTCTCATCTACCTAAAGGCTTGTTAAGTTTTAGGGCCCTCTGGTGCTTAGTGCTTTGCAACTGAAGGAGCTTATGGGTGACTCCCTATAGCATCCCCTGCTCTAAGTGTCATTCTAGTCAGACTTTTCCCTTTCTCTGACTTACCTGAAACAGTAAAGGCCCTCAGAAGTGCATTTTGACTCGGCCATCTCTCCTCTTATATTTGAAAATTCTCATAATGGAGTAAGCATTGCAGGGAGATAGAAATATCTGTTGCTTTTCCTCCTTCCCCAATTCTGTAACACTTCCACCAAAGAAAGGTTGAACTGTTTGAGAACCACAGGATTGATGTCTCCTGTTGCTATGGTTAACAGTCATTCAAGTAACTCATGTTTTCCAATTTTGTTCCACTTGAAACAGTGATGCTGCTTATCAGTGGTGCCCTGGTGAATGGCCCATATGCACTGATCACCACTGCTGTCTCTGCTGACTTGGTGAGTTTGGCTTCCCCTCTGCTTCCAGTGTAGCAGCTTTGGCCTCCAGAGAGAGCCTTTTGACTTCTGCAGGCTTGGCAGTGAAGAGGCTGCATTGTCCCAAAACAAAAGGATAAGGACCTGAATAGGCAGCATTGAACTTGGCCATCAAGGTAGTTTTAGAGTCGGTATATTGGTATGATTGAGTGTTATGCTTGTGAGAGTCTTCTGAATTTTTCTTGTCTACTAACAAGACAGATCAAATCTTGTAGGTGACACCCTGAAGTGAATTTGAAGGTTGCATTCAAGACCAAGCCTCTGTACAGTTGCCTTCTCCCTTTTATACTTTGCATCTTTAAATTAGGGGAGGAGCTGTATCTGAGTGAGAGTTGAGCTGGAGACTTAATTCCCATCAGCACGGAAAGCTGTAGCTATCACTTACCTTTACTTTAGCCCATGCTACCCTCTGTCCTTTCTTGTACATTTGCTCTGGTTGCCAGCAGTTCCAGCTGGATGAGGTCAGTCAATCACAAGTGCCATGTGAAAACATTGACCCTGGTGCCTTTCATTAGGTAGGCTTTGGAAGGTCCTCATTCTTTAAAGCACCGAGCAAGAGGCAAAATCCTCTAACAACAAATGTTCTAGGTATAAAGAACAGTATAGTATAGAAATCTTCTAATGTCCTCTGGAGTCCTATCCTTGGTCTGAAGATCTTGGCAAGACAAATGCAGCTACTGTGCATTGCCCATTTTATCCTTAGCCTCACTGAAGGGGCTGCTAGCTAGGAAGTGGGACCTGACATTGCATGATTACTGCATGGCCCTTGAGAAGAGGGTTGAAACTGCCAACCAGTTTCTCAGATGTCAGCAATCAAACATCTGACATGAACAAATGTAAATTGCTGATTACTTGATTGGATTCTCCTCAGTGTGCTGGAGATAAAGGACTGTCTCTCATTAGCAGTTCTCTAAACTATTCACTTTTTCTCACTCCCTTTATCAGTTGTTTTATTCTGAAGACCTGGCTTCTGAAATTGGGACTGAACAGCTTATTTTCAGTTGAGAATTCTCTGAATTAGCATTTTGGTTTATATCCATAATTCTAGTACTTCAGTATTCCTGTCACAGCGGTGATTTTTTTTTTTTAAATTATTTCCATAGAGATTTGCTGTATTAGCAGAGGAAAGGATGGCTGTGGAACCAGCCTTGCAGAATAATGCGAAGCTGAAGTGCCTTGTTGCTTGAATCCACAGTGTGCAGAACAGGAAGCTTCTTGGCTCTTGTGGTTAAATAACATGATTTAATAGAGGAGAATGCTATAGGCAACAGATTGCTAGGGTAGAAAGCTTTAAGTAGTGATAAAAGGGTTTAAGATAGGATATTTAGGGCAACTTCACAACATACATCTAATGTGGAGGAGTATGAGCAAAATTGCCACTGTAAGGACTTTTTCCGAGTTCACCTCAGAGTGGTTATAAGCAGTTTTTGTCACTTCAGGGTACCCATAAAAGCCTGAAAGGGAATGCAAGAGCCTTGTCCACAGTGACAGCGATCATTGACGGAACGGGATCTGTAGGTAAGCCAGAGCTGTAAGGTAGCCTCCCTTAGCTGTGGTACATTAAGACAATGGATCTCTGAGGAACTCTACTGTTTTGTTCACATTTTGCCAGGGCTTGGTACAGCTTTGGAAATGAGGAGCAGAGCAATCTTAGCTGTAAACCGCTGTAGTGGTTCCACACTTGAGGGAAGGAGGGAGGAAATGGGTGGTAGACTGGTATTGGGCACAGACAGGATGCCGTTGGGCTGTGTCTGAGATCAGGGATATTTTATTCAAGCCCCCCAGACTAGCATGTGGGAGGGAGAAATGAGTAGGATTCAGCTTAATACTGGATGGGTATTTTGTTGAGCCACAGGATGGCATTTCTCAAACTCCTAGTCTCCCAGCTTCCCCTATGTTAGGTTTCCCATTGGCTTGTAGCAGTACCAGTATTACTATGCACTTTCTGGAACCTTTTAATACATAAGGTGATACTGAGTTAACTAGTTGTAGAAATGTATATTCTAACTTGGAATAACTGTCATTCAGCATAGGAAATTTTACACTGCATCGTTCTGACAATATCAATATTATATTTTAGGTGCAGCTTTGGGGCCTCTCTTAGCTGGTCTTATTTCCCCATCTGGTTGGAACAACGTGTTTTACATGCTCATGGTGGCAGATGCGTGTGCCTTGCTAGTAAGTCTAAAAATACTGTTTAGTTGCTGTGTGTGTCCTTTGTGTTAAACTATCTTACAATGCAAATTTTCCTTTTGCAGTTTCAATACTCCATCTTATAAGAAGCTTCCAATTGTGTAGGAGATTTTCAATTAAAGAGCAGAGATGCTAATATGAAGATCTCACCTAATTTTAATCAAAAGTGCAGATTAGTTCTGATGCACTTCAATTTCTGAGCAAATACACGTTTGTTAATTGCTGGCTGAGAAGACTCCAGTGGGTGTAATGGTATCAGCCTTCCTAAAGAGACCTAAAAGGTGCCTCAGATTCCACTCATGGAAGAATTACTTCTGTTTTCTTTAAAGCTGATTTAGCAAAACAGCAACAAGTGCTTTGCTGCATTGCTGTGTCACCGAAATCACCACCATAATGAAGCTGTTGGAAGTTAATACATCACATTCTCCACAGAGGCCCTAAGACTGCTGTAGTAGGTTAGATGAAAACTGACACACTAAGTTCTGACAGTAGCTAGGAACAGGTGTTTAGGGAAAGGAGTGCGACACATGTGGTTGCTTGGTCCAACGAACCATTTTCCTTTTTTCTGCTGTTTGAGGTCCTGTATGATGGATAGGAAGATCTGAAAATGTTTTTTTTTTCTTTTCCTTCTGATTTGCCCTGCTTTGCTTTTAAAGACCAAACAGAACATGAGGTGAGGCAATGCAAGTCTTGCTGTGCCTTTGAATCTGATTTGCCACACCAACCTGTAGGTTATGTTTTCACATTTGCCTCATGTTTCCCTGGCAGGCATCTGTACCAGCTTTGTTGTCTAGCAGTGCGGAAGGCTGCTATGGCTACGTCAGAGATGTCCTGCAGCATCACCTGCTAATCCTCTTCTTTTGAAGTCTTGGGTTGAAGTGTTCATGAAAGGGCAGGGTGACTGAAACTCTTCAGAACTGTTCCTTCCTCTTAACTGGCTGTGCCCAGACAAAACCCCCTGCCTGCACTGTTTTTGCACAGAGGTCTGTGCTCCTGCTGAGGAGCTGATGCTTAGTGGGTCAGATCACTCTTCCCTGACACAAGAGAAACAGAAGGTTTTGCTTTGAGTTATGATTGAGGGTATTCTAAGTTCAAGTTAAACCCAAAATTTCGAAGTATTTTTTCCGCATTTAGGCTGTGATATCTCTTGAAATTAAGTAAATAAGTAAGTTAATAGTTGAAGTATGTTCATGTTGGTAGTTGGCAGCTCTATAAATCCTGATTTGTGCTGTTTTCAATATTAAGTATTCCATGCTGCAGAGTGACATTAAGGAGGTTGTTGTAATTTTCCCAAGTAGGCTTAAACCTCTGCTTTTTTTTCTTTTATAGTTACTTATTAAAACCAAATGAAAAAAATCCCACATTTCTTTGCAACATCAGTTAAAATACCTTTGTAAAGCTCTGTTTTTGAGAGGATTGACTCTATACTGTTGTAGTAAATCCTGGTTTTTGCAATTCTTTTTCTGCGTTTCCTGTTCATTGCAGTACAGCATATAGATGCTTGTGTTGAATTGTTAATTTGTTAAAAAATATCTGCAAGGGCTTTAGCCTCTTACTTAGTATTCCGTTCTGTCATGCTTGGCATCTGAAATGTCAAGTTTGACTTAAAACACCAGTACTTATAGCAGTGAAGAAACTTCCATTTATGACACTGAAACTCTGAGGATAAGGAAACTTTTAACAGTGAGGAACCTGGGAAATTCTAGTTCTGTCTTTAATGTATGGGAGAGTAATATAATTTTGTTTGTAAAATCATTTTCATGGGTCCTGTCTTAGTACACTGTTCAAGGTGCACTTGAAAGTTCTCATCCTGCGCACACAAGTGAACATGACTGACTTCACTTATCTTGACTAATTGTGTGATTAAAGCTTTTCACACACACAGCTGGTTTTTCAGAATAGCAGCTGAACTACTTTAGCACTACAGAACATCTATCTGCCATCTTTTCTTGAAGTCTTGGGTTCCCTCTGCTGGTTTCTTTACACGTCTGTTACACATAGTAACTTTGGAAAGCTATTCTGGTTTTTACAAAGAAATTCATCTCTCAGTTGCAAAAAGGAAGATATTTTCTTGGTGAAAGCTTCTCTTCTAAACATGGACTCGAGTGTCAGTAAGTCTTTTACTTTTTTCTTTTACAGAGTTGAGCATTGCACAGTAATGTTTCAGATTATGATCTCTTAGAATAAATGTACATCTTATCCTGAAACTTAACTCATCTGTGCATCTGTATAGATACTAACACAGCTACTGTGACTATTTTTACAGTTCTTACTCCGTCTTATTGAGAAGGAGCTTCGGTGTTACACAGATCGTACCCTGTAAGTGTTATGCCTTGTTGCTTTTTAATAGCAGTTTAAAAACATGTTACTAAGTGATTGCCCCATAGTGTAGACTGAATGCACTAAGGCTTCTGAATGCCCATTTCTGTTTTGATTTTGCTTCAAAAGGGTGATTTTGTTTTTATGTTTTTCAAATTATGAAGGTTTTTGTTTCATAGAATCGTTAAGGTTGGAAGGGACCTTAAAGATCATCAAGTTCCAACCCCCCTGCCTGGTCCAACCCCCCTGCCATGAGCAGGGAACCCTACCACTAGATCAGGTTGCACAAAACCTCATCAAGCCTGGCCTTAAAAACCTCCAGGGATGGGGCATCAACAACCTCCCTGGGCAACCCATTCCAGTTCCTCACCACCCTTACAGTGAAGAAAAGTTTAGAACATCTTATTTTGAAAAGCATCTGAGGGCAAATTTCTCTATCACAGTCCCTCGGTTATTGTTTGGAGTTTTTTCCCAAATATGTAATATTCCTGGTTTTCATTATGGAGCATGCAGCTACAGCAAGCAGCTACTCAATTGTTTGCTCTGTGTTTTTTAATAGTTTCAAACATAACATTTTCCAAGAAGTCTCCTTAAAGGAAAAGGTGACTCTGAATTTACAGTGTTTCGAATTGAGACAGGGGCAGTGGGGTGAAATCCACTGAATCAATGGGATTACACTTGCCTAAGCAAAAACTAAACTGGGCCTTTTGGCTCTAGTTTTGTAGAACAAAAATGGACAGAGAATAGAAAAATGTGTGGCAAGGAATGGATCCTGCATTTTTAAGTTAGTGGCTGTTATACCTCACACCTCAGCCTTTCCTGCCTGATTGCTGTTCTTTCCCAGATTCAAAGAACATTGACCAAAGACCAGATTTGGAAAAAGGACTGCCAGTGATACAGTTCTTCCCTGAAAAAAAGACCTTCATGGAATACATTGTTTGTTAAAGAGATTCTGTTTGGTGAAGAACTTGGCATGTTTGCTGGAAGCAGTGTGAGAAATGCAACTGGTAAATCCCTGAAGCTTTTATTTTTGCACATGAATAAGTACCTCAGGATGGCAACTACTCATCAGATGAAGAGACAGAAACGTCGGGAAGGTTTAGTGGCGCACCTCAGTTGAGCCAAAGAGAAATACCAAGTGCCTTTTTATTTCTTTTGATAGGATGTTTTTAATTTAAATGCTGAACTGTGTATTTTACAAAACAAGTCAAAACTAGAGCAGAAGGAAGTTGAAATTGTAGCAGTCTAGCAGTGAAATGTCCCAGTGTCAGTGAGCCAAGTATGTATCCCTTATGTCATCTTACGCACACCGAGGGCATCGCTTTATAGAGGACAATATCAGCTGTTTTTTATGATGCACTACTATTAATATTTTGAAGCTGCTCAGACAATAATAACCTCACCATATTATTAGTTTTTAACTACAGTACTACTTCTAATCCCAAGGACAACATCCAGCCTTTCAGTAGGTAATGAAATGGAATTTACTGTTGCATTGTACCACGGTTAGCAGTTTTCACAGACTCTCTGGAAAGATGTTAGTTGTCAATAAGGGTTGTGCAAAAAGGAATCTGAAGTTGCACAAAATAGATGATGAGTCAATTTCCAGTGGAGGGCTCTAAGGATTTTTCAGGGCATTATAAACTGGCTGGGCAAACATCACCTAGTTGTTCTGCTGCTCCTCTAGGCTGGGTTGACATGAGAGGTTTTTCCTTTGGGGTGGCAGAGAACTGTGCGCTGTCACACCTTCAGCACTACAGGATTGAGCAGATAAGCTGCTTTAGTGCCCACTGCCACAGTGATCTCTGTTGGGTGCTTCCTGATTTCAGTGCTGGTGTGTGCACATGAAAGTCATCATTAGATTAGGGCCTTAATAACCAGAAATCTTTCAAGTGGCTGATTTCAAAATGTGTTTATATCAGAAAAGAAAAATTGCCTAGGTATTAGGTTGTAAGAGGATATTTTAGTACTAGTGTTACTCAGCAGGTATGTTCTAAAGACATTAAACCACCTATTTCTTTGTACAGCTGTCTCGTTTGCAAATCAAATGTTTTTGTTACGTTTTTTTTTAAAGATGTACAAAGTAAAAAGGATTTTTTGGTATGAGGTGTTTATACTTAGAACATCTAGAAGGCTAGATAATTTAAAATGTGTATTGACTGTATTTATTTAAGCTTTAGGCATATGTCTTGTTCTGAACTATGCTCTAAGTTTTGTGAAACAATGCAGTAGTCTTTACATTTGATGAAGAAAATGACACACTGAAGTAGTCCTGAAAACATGGAGAAATGTCTCATTGGCTGCTGGTGTTGTGTTCTATGTGCTGGCACAACTCTTGGTTTCTGGGACTGTTTTGTAATTGTTCAGCCTTTGATCAGTTATTTCAATGGTTTGATTCAGCACATGCTTTATGCTTGACGTGGACAGTACAAGAATGTCTTTATTTCTAACTGTTTTGCTGAACAAAGATACAGGGAAGGCCTCAGTCCCACAAAGACTTGAGGAAAGTAACAAAGTCCTTGCAAGTGGCTGAGTAGGCCCTGAACCTGCAGTTACCCCGAGGAATGGTTAACTTCACACATTTTAAGAAACCTATTGAGACCAGCAGGGCTACTCAACATGTGCTTTTGTGAATCTGCGCTGCGTTTGTGCTTCAGGCTGTAGTTAAATGTGACAGAATTTTGCAGCGATATTACTTGAAAGGACTCCCATCCCAGTGGTGTGGCACACACTGCCCCTTGCTCAGCCAGGCTGACTCTCTGGAGGACTGTTAGCTGGACCAGGGGAACTGATCTAGCTTTTGATGGGGGGATAGTAACATTGCAACCCCAAAACAGCTGTACTGGCACAACGTCACTGGTTGTGTGAGGAGGGGAGGGATGGAGGACTTCTTTAGCTGAAGATGTTGATCCCTTCCCCACAAAAAGGCATGTAGAGCTGCATACTAGTTTATCAAAACAATGAAAACTCTTTAAGCTCTGCTGTGCTCAGATTTTGAGAGGCTGTTCCCTATGAGCTTAAGTCTTAGGTTAAAATGCTTTCAGTTGTATTTAACAGTTACAGGTTGTAAAGATATTTAAGTGTGTTTTGGATTTTGTTTTACTTGTTGGGGCTGCTGCTGTTATTTATTTATTTATTTGAATAGCTTTTGCACTGCATTGACTCGGGTATGGGGTGATGACACTGTTGGAGGTGTCAGGCCTGAGTCCTTTCTTCCATCAGTTGCAGGAGGGAGTTAGGACTCAGGGTGTGCAGATGTCTCCATCCAAGTTAATGTGCAGCATTTCAGTTTCTCCCAGCTACGAATTAGTTGGACAGAAAGAAACAGGATTTGCTTTTCTTTAGTAACAACCCTAAAGGTCCTCCGAGTTGTGAATAAACTGTGTGTTTTGTTAGCATTGGGTGTCAATATTCATTAGTCTGGAAATGAGCAAGACTGATGACATTTTTTATGCAGAAATGTGAGTTACCAGTAGGTAGAGCCAAATTTAAATATGACTGGAGAGTTGTTGGTTTTTTTAAATGCTGGTTATTGTGAATGCTACTAATTTATTGTCCTGTGTTGAATAAAAACAGATTCTTCTTTAAAATGAGAAACAATGGTTTATTCATCTTTTATATCTCCATAAAGAAATGCTCCAATTATTGGTTGGCAGAATAGGCGTCCCTGATGGGACAGTGCTCCTGTCTCTGGTGAGGGTAATGAAAATGATTGATTAGGAGAATAAATTAAACTTTTGTTTTGAAAACACTGCTCTTCTCAACTTGAACATGTAATTTTTTTATTTTGCAGGATTGTGGGTTGTACATCATCAATATTTCTCACCAGCTGCATCAGCTGGGTATATTCTGCCTCTTTATTTCAGTCTAGTAGGAAAAGAGGTCACTTACCTGAGTTAGGGACTGGGTCCAGCTCATACAGCAGAGTTTTAAGCTGACTTTCTTTGTTGTCTGCTTCGCTCATCCTTCAATTTATATGAAGTTGAAATTGAAAAGCTTTGTCTTTCCTATCTACCTCTAATCATCTTGAACATTTACTGTCTTGATTCTGTTATTATGTTTGTTGGGGCTTGTGTGCCTCTACCAGAGACACACGATCCAAACCAACAGATGCACTGGGGAAAAACTGCTTGTAAAGGAAGACAATTTCCAGTTAGAAGAAGGTGGCTGAGGGTCTTGGACAGAAATTCTGATTAAAATGTGTCTCCCAGGAACAGGCAAATAATAGGTGGGGCATCTTATGAAAGAAGAGGGGCTCAGATCCAAGTTCTTGTTGCACCCAATTTGGAACGGAAGCCTCCAGTGGAGTACTTGTACCCTCATGGGCATGTTGCCAGACATGCTGCAGTGGAAGTTTGTCTCCATTGTCTGTAAGAAGGGTTTATAGGGTGAGAGATAAGTAGGAGGGAAGTTAGTGCTGTATTCACAGGTTTATTGTCTTTTGTCTGGAGATTAAATTGCTAACCTGCTCCATGCACTAAGATACACCAACTCCTACATGTTTTTTTTTTCCAGTTATGAAATCCCAGAAGGAATTCTGCCTTCTGCTTTGGGAGGTTGTTCCATGTGTTTCTGGCATAATTCCCTTAGAATAACAATGGGAATCCTCCATGTGTTTGTTCCAATGTCATACTGCCTCAGGCTTTGGCTGCCCTCATGTTTCCGCTTGGGAATCTCATTGCTGCTGGTAGGATTCTCCAGTGACTAATGTGTGGAGTTATTAAAATGAGAAGTGCTGCTCAAAGTTGAGTGGGTGTAAGGTGGTAGAAATCAGGATTTTCAGAGCTGTTGGAGGCTGCTGGTCTTCAAATAGAATGGATTTGAGGAGGATTGTTTGCCATCCCATCAAATTATGAGGCGCAGAATTGGTAATGGTGGCGTTCTCTGGGCTTCTTCTGCAGCTTGCTGTGCCTGTGGAAGGACTGTAGACAGCTTGGTGGGAGGTTGGCCTCTGCATCTTCTGGGGCTTTGGTAACCTTGACCTACATTTTCTGCTATGCTCAG